CTAGTTCATGCATTTATTACATCAAGACTCCACTGTCGCTTTATGCTTGCTTAGTATGAGGATTGCTATATAGTCACTGACACTAGTCAGTGACTTGATGCAATTTGCTTGGTTCCTTATATAGGAAACATTATTTCTGATTGGCTTAATGAACTGACCTGAATTGGAATGTTTATTATGTGAAGTGCCTTGAGACGACTCTTGTCGTGATTTGGCGCTATATCAATAAAATTGAATTGAATTAAATTGAACGTTATATCTTATAATGAGTTTCAGACCTAAAATAAGATGAAAAAAGATGAAAAGAATTCTTCTTGGACCATTTTTTAGTTGTTATTTTGAGTAAAATAAATCTGCCAAGGGGACTAGCTAAAGTTGCTTAGCTATTTTTAGAACTGGAATTTTTAGAACTAGCGAAAGAATCAAAATTTTGATTAATGTGCTAGTTTTCTCATTTTAATTATCGCAATTTTTCTAGAGAATATTATGTAGTTTAAAATTAAAAATGAGATAACATGTCTATAAAATAATACATGTATTATAATAATACATAATATAACAATTATATATATATATATATATACATAATTTTTGGGGGGAGAAATCAGTCTTTGCAGTGTATATTCCAAAAGACCTGAAACCCTAATTAAAACTATCTTGATGCACTGGCTAGAGAATAATTTTTATTTTTAAACTAACAATAAGATAAATTGTCTAAAAAATAGGTTTCATAACTTTCTTAGAAATCAGTTTTTCATTATAAGTATATAGATCACAACCATTGTTTTGGTTGGCAGGGATCCACTCCATTAACTGTGTTTCACCTAAAACAATGATTGGTAAGTTCATGACAAACAACATTTTGACTCAACCTAGTGTTTATTCCACATTTGGAATAAACCGCTCCTCGTTCCAGTTTGCTGCTCCCAACGACTGGAATGAGCTGCAAAAATCACTAAAGCTCACTACCCACATTCCATTATCTACCTTCAATAATTCATTGCAATCAATAGTTTCTGAACAATGTGCTTCTGAGCTGTTTTGATTGCTTATACATATTTTATTTGAGAACAGTCCTTTGTCTTTATGTCTAACAGTTTTATCTTATTTTATTATCATATTTTTATCTTGTATGTTTTATCTTAACCATTTTTCTTTAGTGTAAAGCTACCTATGTCTGTTGCTGCTGCCTCTTGGGCGTTGTAAGTGAGAATAAGTTCTCAATCGACTCATCTGGTTAAATAAAAAATGAATAAAATTAAATTTGGACAAAGAATAAGGTCTCCGCTTTTCTGATAATACAGCCTTAGATTTGGGAAGTTAAACATTTAGAAATTTGCAGTTTATTTAATACCAAACTGCAAAACTGATGTTAGGTATTTTGAAAAAACTTGTATAATTTTGCCAAACTTCTGAACCCGTATAATTTATGTTCCTGGTCATAAATTCTTGGTATGTTCTGCAAGGTTCTTGGAAGTGGATTAAACGAGAATTCCCTGATGCAGCTTCACTTCCTCTCTTTATTTTGGCACTTTTAAAGTTCTAATAGAATAATTTTGGAGTGACTTCATCTTGGCAGCATGGCAGTCGGACCTGCACTGTCAGAAAACCTGTCACCTGCTCTATCAAAACAAGCTGGCAGCAGCTCTAGGATGTGCAACCTGGTGCTCTGCCATGAAAGGACAGCTCTACCTTCCTGGTCCCAACTCTAATCTAAAATACCATAAATCCTCTAATACAGGCCAGTATTCAATTAAAGGCTGGGTCTCCAATTTTGGCCGGTGTCGGAGTCGGCGGAGGTGAATAAAGGCCGGCCTCTTATCGTGGCCGGGTGGAATGTGGTAACAAGCAAGTACGGGGCGGTTGTGTCATCGTCTCACTTTTGATTTGCCAGTGACAGACCGCGAGGGTAACTTTAACCGTGCGGAGACAAAGAGGAGGCTGTGCCAGAGCGTCGGTACTGACACGCGATCGTTCATGTCGGTTCATTTCCTTTAATGTTTTCTGTCTTTTATTTGCGCCTGATGTGTTTCGCTGCATGCTGTGGAGTGGGGCACATCACCTTGTCCTCGGGTGACACACCGATCACTGATGCGGCCGCCAAGCACGGAGCACTCCGCTGCTTTTGCGGTCGGTAGATCTGCCTCCTGAGCATGGCCACAGTAACAATCAGGTGTCGCCACATTTAACACGCGATCGTTCATGTCGGTTCATTTCCTTTAAAGATTTCTGTCTTTTATTTCCGCCTGATGTGTTTCGCTGCATGCTGTGGAGCGGGGCACATCAGCTTGTCCTCCGGTGACGCACCGATCACTGATGTGCCCGCCAAGTACGGAGCACTCCGCTGTTTTTGCGGTCTGTAGATCTGCCTCCTGAGCACGGCCACAGTAACAATCAGGTGTTGCCACCTCAAAAAATTATTTAACACGCGATCGTTCATGTCGGTTCATTTCCTTTGATGTTTTCTGTCTTTTATTTGCGCCTGATGCGTTTGGCTGTGGAGCGGGGCGCATCACCTTGTCATCCGGTGACGCACCGATCACGCGGCCACCAAGCAGGGAGCACTCCGCTGTTTTTGCGGTCGGTAATCTGCCTCCTGAGCACGGCCACACTGTAACAATCAGGTGTTGCCAAATTATTTAACACGCGATTGTTTATGTCGGTTCATTTCCTTTGATGTTTTCTGTCTTTAATTTGCGCCTGATGCATTTTGCTGTGGAGCGGGGCGCATCAACTTGTCATCCGGTGACGCACTGATCACTGATGCGGCCGGCAAGCAGCGAGCACTCCGCTGTTTTTGCGGTCGGTAATCGGCCTCCTGAGCATGGCCACAGTAACAACCAGGTGTTGCCAAATTATTTAACACGCGATCGTTCATGTCGGTTCATTTCCTTTGATGTTTTCTGTCTTTTATTTGTGCCTGATGTGTTTTGCTGTGGAGCGGGGCGCATCAACTTGTCATCCGGTGACGCACCGATCACTGATGCGGTCGGCGAGCACCGAGCACTCCGCTGTTTTTGAGGTCGGTAAATCTTTTAGAACTGCAGTTCAAAAGTAACTCATAAGGTGAATATATATGAACCCAGGTAGCAGTTTTTCTTTAGGATTGAGAGGAGATGCAGGAAGATAATAAACAGACAGGACAGAAAAATAGTCAAATAAAAACAAGTTAGTTTTTGTACCTGGTGGTTGCAACAAACAGACACCACTGAAGGTAATCAGAAGTGAGGAACAGAAAATGAAATAATTATTTTAATGTTTAGAGCAGCAGGAACTCTGAGAGGCTGCAGGCGCATCAGTGAGTTTGCAGCCGCTGCACAGGGGGAGGGGGGAGAGGGCTGAAGCAGAAACTACCGTTTTTAAAAGAAATGTGTTTAACTTTGAAAATGTGGACGCAATTTTAATTGTCCAAAACTCCATCGAACCATTAGTTCATTTTGCTCAAATAGAAATAGAGGCCTGCCTCTAATACTGGCCCTCCTTCCAATAAAGGCCTGGAGCTTGATGAGCTTGAGTCAAATACAGGCCTAGGCCTGTATTAGAGGATTTACGGTATATTTGTTTAGCCTGAGTTGTGATCTTGGGTCTCCACAAACAGCTTTGTACCTCATTGGAGCAAAACATGTAAACATTATTGAAGATCCCCCCTGTGTGTCCTGGTATTAAGTTATTTTACACAACAGATTAGAAAGTGCTTTGTGAAACTGGAAAAGTCCCTCTTCAAACACTTCATTTATAATCGTATCAGTATATACATCAAGGGGCGTGTAAACCACAGGGAGGTTTGATGTAATCTGCTGATGTTTTGTCCACCCTCGAATGCTAGCGACCCATCTGGTTTGTCCGAACCCATTATGGTGTGGTTTTTCACTCAGCTTTCCAGAACCTAACCTCCACATTCTGGTTGTGGCACAAGACCAGTGTCTTCCTGCACTCTTCATGTAAACATCCAAGTAGAAAGCAAAGGAAATAGCTTGTGTCACAGTGTGTTCACCGCATGTCTGTCTGACTGGTTATTTAAAGCACCAAGTGAAATGTTTCCAAATTGGTATCTAAAAACGATGACCTTTCCCAGCACATTTGGTCACAACAGATCTTTGTTAGTAATGTTTTGCTTCTGCTGTTCTGCTATATGACATTTTAACACTTTATAGACCAGGGGTGTCCAAGCTTTGTGAGAATAGGGTTGCTCACTGGGTACAAAAATGTGATTTTCTTCATTTTAATTTTAAGCATGCCAAAATTTGTATATTCTGACTTTTATGTGTACTGATGGGCTGTGCAGTAGTGCAGTGGTTAGAGCTGTTGCCTTGCAGCAAGAAGGTCCTGGGTTCGCTTCCCGGCCTGGGGTCTTTCTGCATGGAGTTTGCATGTTCTCCCTGTGCATGCGTGGGTTCTCTCCGGGTACTCCGGCTTCCTCCCACAGTCCAAAAACATGACTGTTAGATTGATTGGTCTGTCTAAATTGTCCTTAGGTGTGAGTGTGTGTGTGCATGATTGTTTGTCCTGTGTGTCTCTGTGTTGCCCTGCGATGGACTGGCTCTTTGTCCAGGGTGTACCCCGCCTGATTACCCATTGACCGCTGGAGATAGGCACCACAAATTGACACAAATTATTATCAAACCCTTAAAACATCCAGATTGAGTATTTGGATTAGTATTTGAATCAAAAACCTGCCACATCAAGTCCTATAGACAACATGTATACTGCTCTCTATAGTGGAGGATCTACAGTTGGCAAGGGCCAATTCAATTTTTTATTATAATTGTTATTCATCAAGTAGCTGTTATTAAGTTTACAAAAATAATTATAAATGTATTCATATTTTATAGGTTACACTTTAAATGGAATAATCAATCTTGTCACATGTGCATACATTTTCCAATTGAAAACATATATAGTCATTTTCCCTATTGTCAATCCAGTGTTCAACAAAATTGTTCAATTAACCAAACGAACCTGACAAGAACCTTTAATAATTCTGTAATTTGTTCCTTCAGGTGACAAACCCTTCTTTCCCTGTGGTCGTGAAGATGGGCCATGCTCATGCTGGAATGGGAAAGGTGAGTTCTTTAAAAATGTGGTTCCCAAAGTTGGACCTGAGGCCCAACCATGGGTCATGAAACGCTAAGGTTGGAACTTTAGAATGATCCACAGAAATACTATAAAATTGAAGAGTAATTCCAGCAGAATATCAATTGGTATACAAGCATGAAATACTCCAAAATAAATAGTTTTGTTCGTTACCTTTGTTTATCTTTACAGCAATTTATGTTCAGGTTAACCAGCAAACTTTGGTCTAGCAACGTTGTCTCACTGACAATTTGGAGATCAGAAGATGAAAAGCGTGAAAGTCACTTTTGGTTTATTATTCTTGTGATACTTGAGGTTTTTTTTGCATCTATGGGCGTGTCTGAGTAGCTGCACCACTATATTTTGTTACGTTCAGCAATGAGTGATATATTTCTAATTTAATTCTAGCTGACACTAACTGGATTTAGGACAAAGGTACTGAATAAATCAAGTATAGTGTATTTTAGAGGTTTCAGCTCATTATTTGGTTAAACTCTGTCTACAGGCTCTTGCTCTCTCTCTCTCTCTCTCTCTCTCTCTCTCTCTCTCTCTCACACACACACACACACAAACACACGTCTCGATTACAGTCATGAAAGTCAAACATGATATTGTGATGGAGGCTTTGGCTGGTCTGACGTTGAGACAGGAAACCTAAAAACCGGTCTGTTGTCGTTTCTCCAGACCACCTCCGTCTCCCAGCGGACTATAGGGAGACACAAATCAGTTTTAATCAGACTGTGACATGTGAGGAGATGTACTGTTTTAAAGCAGACGACCAGGGCTTTAGTCCTTTCTCTTCAGCAGCTCTTACCCAACAGCTTGACTGATATCCATCACATCTGCTGAATACACATTTCTGTGAACAATTTGTTGTTTTCATCTCTCTGAACCTGATTTAGAATGAATGTTTGCATGTATCTTTGTTTGAATGTTTTTATTTTAACAAGTAGCTCCAACAAAATTAAGCCAGTCCCTTGTCCATAATTTCTCTAAATTCACTGGAGGAGTTTCTGTCTTTAGTCTCGTTGTGTTTGTCTGAATGGTTGGGTTTGGTTTCCTGTCCAGAACCCAGACATGCTATAGAATATCCCACAAGGCTCAAGGGGAACATGGAAGTACTTGTTGAGCAAAAACCCATTTAACCCATCAGACCTTACAGAGCTCTGATAATGTATTTACACTTCTGTGAAAAAGCATTTGCCCCCTCACAGACATTTTCCTAACTAAAACGTTTCTGATCCGCAAGCAAAGATAACCTGAGTAAATACGAAATACAGTTTTTTACTTGTGATTTAAATTATTAGAGGAAAAAATATCAAATACAAGCCAACATGAACCCGTGTGAAAAAGTGCAGGGGGCTTCGGTCCTTTTGGTGACACACAAAGCATGACCACAACCTTACAATTAAAATAATGATCACCTGCAACCGATTAAAGTGATGCTGTAGACTTTTTCTCAATAGCAAATTCATCATCCTCATTCTTCATTACAGACTGATTCCCTGAAAATTCTGTCCGACTGGAAAGGGGCAGCAACCCCAAACATGTTCATTGTTAAAGTGTTAAAAAAGTTAGGAAAGAATGTTAAAGTGTCAAATATTAAAGGACTTTCTGCCAGTAAGTAAATGGTCATTACCCAGAAAATAGAAAATGATTGATTTCTAACAAAGCTTTGTTTGATGTTGATGCTTTTTCACTGTACTAAATGTCTTCTGCAGAAAAAATGTGGGAAACTTTAATGAGTGAAACGTTGAAAGTCAGTTTGCTTGTGTTCTTTGTTTCTTACCCTTATTTAATTGGACATTTTAACAAAACAAGGGAACACAATGCCCCTTTAAAATGTATTCCATTCTCTTCATCTGAAATCTTTGTTGTCTTGTGAGTTTGCATTCTGAGCTAATTTGTGAAACCAAGTGATTAATTATCAGCTTCATATGTGGTTTTAAACAGGTATTCATGTTATTACCCACCAAAGTGACAACATTATTTACTGGACCAGATGAACCCACCTGTTGTTTAAATAATTTACGGTTTTGGTACGTTTCTGGCTTGTGTTGAGGTTCTCTTTATTTGATTTTATTGTTTATCTTGTTAATGAATGACGTCATATTTAACAGATTACGTTGAACCACCCAGACACTGCTTCTGTTAGAACCGTTGCCATAGAAGAACTGAACACAACACAGAACTTTTACCCCAGAGATATTTACAAGCTTACATCCTCATGGTCATATTTTTCAAATGTATTACAAACAGGGAATGCTATAAAGGTTGTAAAAACCACTTTGTGATTAAAACTGTATTTGTGGCAAAAGCCTTAGATTATGACACGTGTTGGTTTTTGCAAACTTTGCTGCTTCAATTTGTTTTTTAGTTGTTTCCATAGTGACTTGGGTGTATTCAGTCTCATTTCATACATTTTAAAGGCTTTTTCACTAAGTTAATGCAAAGGCATGATATCTGCAGTGTTTCTTACTTAGACCTCTGCAGTTCACTGACATGCTGTTGCTCAGCTTATTCCAGATCCTGACTGAGGGCAGCTCATTCTTCATGATCAGTGCTTGGAGTTAGTGTGGACTTGTAAGGCTTTCCTGCCTCTGAATTGACCACAAGTTATCAATGGGATTATGGTCTGGGGAGTTTCCTAGACCTGGACCCAACATCTTGGCTTTTGGTTCCTAGAGCCTCTAGTTCTGACTTTACCTCTTTTGTCTGGTGTTTTTTCCATGCTTAATATTATTTATCACCAAACTGCTCTTGGATGGTTGTGAGGAGTTCCTCAGGGAGGGTGTTTAGGTACCATACTTTTTTTCATGGCTGTTCTGAGAATGAACTGCGAGAGAGTTCACTGACTCTCTTAGCTGAGAAGCACTTCCACACATGACTGGTCTCAGGATGCTTTACTGTAGGACGGCAATGGCTCACTGGGGAAGAGCAGTTGTCCATTGATTGGAAGTTGTGTAGTTCGATCCCAAGTACCAAAATATCACTAAGCAAGATACTGAAGCCTGAAAGTTGCCCCCCTGGGAGAGAAACAAATAGCTTTTTTGAGAATGGGTCAGAGACAGAGAAATTGATTTATTGGGGATCAAGCAAGGGTCAGTCCCAGCCTGCCAAAAGTGTTCAGTGTTCAGCAGCCTCGCTTCTGTCAGTGTGTCCCAGAACAGCTGTGGCTACATTGTAGGGCTGGGCGATATATCAATATTTTTAAAATATCGGTATAATTTTTAAACAAGATATAAGATGACTGTATATCTTTAAATTGATATAACTGGTCAAACTACTATGCTAGCGATTAGCTGCTATGCTAGCGACATGTTGCTCCGTCTCTAAGTGGCTATTACATGTATTCTCACAAGTTTGCTCAATCTGAGAGCCTCTGGGTAAATGTGCTGCTCTAAACTTTGCATTTGGTGTCCTGGGGTCTCATTTATCAAACATTGTGTAGAATCCTTACTAAAACTGAACGTGGCATGGTTGTTGGTGCCAGATGGGCTGGTCTGAGTATTTCAGAAACTGCTGATCTTCAGGGATTGTCTCACACAACCATATGTAGGGTTCGAGGGGGACATTTTCTTGGCACACTTTGGGCCCCTTAGAACTAATTGATCAATGCTGCAATGCCACAGCCTGGCTGAGTATTGTTGCTGACCATGTCCTTCCCTTTATGACCACAGTGTTCCCATCTTCTGATGGCTACTTCCAGTAGGATAATGCACCATGTCATAAAGCTCAAGTCATCTCAGACTGGTTTCTTGAACATGACAATTAGTTCACTGTACTCAAATGGCCTCCAGAGTCACCAGATGTATATCCAATAGAGCACCTTTGGGATGTGGTGAAATGGGAGATTCACATCATGGATGTGCAGCCAACAAATCAGCAGCAACTGTGTGATGCCATCATGTCAATATGGACCAAGATGTCTGAGGAATGTTTCCAGTACCTTGTTGAATCTATGCCATGAAGGATTAAGGCAGTTCTGAAGAAAAAAGGGGGGTCCAACCCGGTACTAGCAAGGTGTACCCAATAAAATGGCCAGTGAGTGTATATTAACACTGGTTTCATTTTGTTATTAAATTCCATTTTGGAACCTCTAAAGAAAGAAGGTAGACATTTTTTGGTCACCTGGGTTTCGTTTGTCAGCTGGAATAGACAAAAGGTGGTACAATAAGCCTAAAAAGGGTTTTATGTGTTTCCTCCTTTATGTTATTTAAAAAAACAGGGGCGTTGTTACGTAATTAGGATACTAAAAAGTGTGTAGTGAAAAGTGCTTGCCTAAACTGAATGCAGCAGACGTGTTGATTGGTTGCCACTGCGTCATTTCCCTTCAGTCTGTGTTTACAGTCTGCAGTCTAATAACTTGATGGTGACGTAGATGAAAGCTGCCCCTGGCACCGTTTCTACCCAGGGACCCTTCATTATCCAGCATGTGTACAAGTGAGAGATTCCTGTGGGATTGTAAGCAGCCACTGCTAGCTTTGACTGCTGTGTTTTGCTTTATAATTAGCTGCTCACTAACAAGTGGCGTCTCTCCTGCAGATTAAAGTTGAAAACCAGCAGGATTTCCTGGACATCACCAGTGTGGTAGCCCTGGCGGGGACCTACGCCACCACTGAACCCTACGTCCAGTCCAAATATGACATCCGCATCCAGAAGATCGGCAGCAACTACAAGGCCTACATGTAGGGGGCTTCATATTATGAGCATCTTGGTTTTAATTTCCTATTTTAAAATACTCAAGACCTTTGTTTTAAAGCTGTTATGAGACAATGTTTGAAGATGTTTGCTGTTTTAAGATGATCAAAAGTTAAAGATCAAAGGAAGTCTTGAGCCACAAAATATGTAGATCTTGGATTCTGAAGAATTCCTGTGAGGAATGTCACAATAAGGATATTCCACTTCCTTGATTCCAAACCAAATCATGTAAAACAAAGAAGTCCATTACTTCTTCATAACAGGCTTGCAGACAACAAACCATGATTGCTATTAAGCTGTTACTGATTACTTGTGCATGCTTTAGGTCATTATTTAGAGCCTAAACTAGAAACAGTTTTTATATTTTTCTATTGAAAAGTGAAAAAAGATTAAAAATGAAGAAAACTTAATGGTGTGGTTCTCTGAAAACAAAAACGTAAGGATTATTTCTGATTATAATCAGTCACTCTGAGTTTTTCATGCAGGCTGAACATGAAAACAGTCTCCTACACCTATCTCCTGGGTTAACTTCTGATAGAAAATAGACGGTGAAAATCTAGGATTTGAAAATCTCGACAGATCTACGTCACACTGTCACATAACATTCGTGGATTCACCCATCTTGACTCACGGCAGGGAAGGCTTTGTTGGTTTGGGAATCAGCAGCGGACATCTCAGCTAGTTTAAGCTAACTGTTAGCATTAGCAACTTAACTACACAGCAGAAGCTGCTCCAGGCTTGTGTTAGGTTAGTTGTAGAGATAAAACATCAATGTTGCATGTCAGTGGTAGAGTCGTGTTTATCAAATTCAGGGCGAGATGTCCAAATATCAGGACTCTAATGGGCCATTCCCATCTGTACCAGGTCGGGCCGGGTACCGTAGGTTGTTTACATATCTGGGTGGCCTGGTATTTTTCCGGGCCAACCAAGGCTCATTCTCAGCCCTCTTCTCGAGGGGGTCTGCTTCAGGCCGACCAGGGCCAACACACCCACTGCTGACAGCAAATTCACACCTTCCATTAGAGCAAGCCTCTGATTGGTGGGTAGAATCAGCCCACATGGGCTTAAGGCAAGGATGTGTGGAATCAACCGGGCCAGGCTGGGGCCGACTGGGGCTACCCGGCCCAGGCCGACCCGGTACAGATGGGAATGGCACATTAAACCTGCCCTGATAAGCTCTCCTGTGATGTTGCAGACTTTGAGACAGGGTTTGTGGGCTTTTTTGCGCCCTGAGTAATGCCTGCAAGGCATTAAATCCTACTAGAGACCACTGCAAATGTATTGAATAAACAAGTTATCCACACTTTTAAATAAGTTTATAAAGTAAGAAAAACATAAAAAACACTAGCCAGTTAAAAATCAATAAAGGCATTATTTTAATAGCTCTCATTAAAATCCACAGGTTACAAGTTTTCCTTTCCAAACCTTTCAGTGAGTGACTTCTGAAAGGTTTGAGTCAATTAATAGAAGTTTCTCTGGAGGATGACGGTGGTGAGAGACCTTAACATACCCAGATCACAGTTTCGTCTTATTCCTCTTAAGAATGTCTTACCTGCCTGTTGTAGAAACAGTGTTTTGAGCTGTTATTGGTAGTGAGACCCTTTTTATTGATCTCTCATTGGTTTTTGATAAACACAGTTTCAAATCAATGTTGTATATAACCAAGATGTATAGGCATCAGCTGGTTATATGAAAAATGCTGTTCGTGGAAGTCGCTCTATGAGGTTTTCTGGTCCACCATAACTACATTGTTGGTGATTTAGAAAACTAAAAAAGCAGACACCTCTCAGGAGTATTAGAGACAATCTGATAAGCTTAAGTATTAATATTGGATAGAAGATTTTTGATTTGTCTTAAATAATCAGTCAACACGGTGCTCACATTTTCATTAGTTGTGTGTCTATTTCAGCCATCTTACAGGTCCTGGTGAAAGTTGTTGCCAGACTATGTCTAACTAGAGCTTCGGGAGTAGGTACAAAAAAGAGATCAGGAGATGGGTGTCACTATTTTCATTCCAAACCAATAAATAAACTTTATCTGCATCAGGAGTGAGATTGTGACAGGACATTCAGAATATTTGATAATTAAACAGAACCTTCAGAAGTCTGACCTGAATGCCAGTTGCAACTAGTAGTCACTGAATAACTGCTTTTTGTGGACTTTAAGATTTACAGTGCAAATATTTCCCATGAGTCTGGCATGTACTTATTCATGGAAATGATCATAGTTATTGAGACCACAATGATTGCTTGCTGTGCTATTCCTAGAGCCTCAATGGCTTTCAAACGGGACTCAGCTGGAGGTTTAGATCTCCAACACTCAGCATGAAGCTGTAGTCTATGACAGCCATTCAAATTCAGGCAGACAGGTATTTTATGATCTGAGGAACATTGCATAATAATGCTTTGGCACATTATAATTTGGGTTCATTAACCTTTGTCTTTGCATCAACTCCTTCTTTTCTGTCAGATTTTTAAGTTGAGTTCTTGGAAAATCACTGTTCTCAAACGCTGCCTTTAGAGCAATAATCCTAAAACTCTCCTAAAGAGAAGTAGAGGGCATGAAACTTCACAACAATTGCTATTTAAACTCACAGGAGTCGAGCACCATCTTTGAGATAGCAAAACCAGAAAACTTGCTTTCTAAATTGTTCAGCTGAAAAGAATGCATTTTGTTCCTCCTTTTCATGAATCCAGACTACTCTCGTTTGCTCACATCTATTAGGTTTAGAGAAAGTGTGCTGTCTACTTTTAAGTCATTAGAGTCCAATCATTAGACAAACAGCACAGTCAATGCTCATCTGATCCAGTTTGTTCTCCAGCCAGTAATTGGCCTGTTGTAGGTGTGGACAGCAAGCATCAATGAGAAAGTCTTGGTGGTATTTTCCCATGAGGTTCAGTTCCACAAGCAGAAGCTGTGAAATAATAAATCTAATAAAGTGTTGCAACTTTCAAAACAGGTTGTGTTCATTTCCAGAGATTTCCTTTTTTTATTTCCCAGGAGAACATCCATTTCTGGTAACTGGAAGGCAAACACAGGCTCTGCCATGTTGGAACAGATTGCAATGACAGACAGGTAATCTTCTTCAAATGCATTTAGAGGGATTTTCCAGTCAACGTTAATCCATAAATGGTGTAACTTTGTTCCAGATACCGTTTGTGGGTGGACTCTTGTGCTGGGATGTTTGGTGGCCTCGACATCTGTGCTGTGAAGGCTGTTCATGGAAAAGATGGCAATGACTATATCATCGAGGTCAGTGTGATTTTAGATTACAAGAGGTAAAGGATGATGGTGATCAAGCAACACAAAGCCCATAAGAAGTCATTTGGCAAAGACAGAAACTTGGTTTTCCATGCTTTAATGTCTTCCTCAAATACATCAAGGCTTTTGCAGTGTAAAAGGCACAGAACTGGTCTAGCTGAAATGTTCTCTTGGGTTTCATCTCTTTTTCATTATTCATCGAGGCGAAAATCCTCATCAAAGTCGACAAGGATGGGTGGATCCAGAGTCTGACATATGACCGGGAAAGCCTTGAAAGAATGATTAGTATGTAGACCAAACACATACAGGACAATGAAAACACCATCAGAGCTCAGTAGTTGACTCACTATGCTAACTTTGTTGATAAAGTCTCATTCTTGACCCAACAGAGAATGACCAGACATAACAAATGTGGTTACATGTTTGGGCTTCATGGACAATGGTTAACCAGTGCGCTAGAGGCCTTTCTGTTGGACAATCATTCCAAACAATCATGTCTAATCTACTGTTGTTTTGGGACATCAAACAGAGCGAAGATGGCCTTTTATGTGACATTGTTCTTATCAGTGACTGCATGGGACCATCTCCTCTTCAAGATTCCTCATGAATATGTCCAATGGCCAAAACAATTTAGAAACCTTGGGTTCTTTGGAACCAGACAAGACCAGTTGATGTGTGTTCTAGTTTTTTTGTTTGACCGAGTGTCATGGTTAGGATGAAAAAATTAGTTTGGGTTCTTGGCTAGAGGTCGGGGTTAAAGTGGATTGGCATAAACAAGCAAGCTGAACTGACCGAATACTCAACCTATTTCAGAGGCTTTAGTTCTGGTTTGAGTTTCAGAAGTTCCAATGTAAAACGTTTAAGACTGCAGGTTTGAGACTGTAACAAAGAGCCTAGCTGGACTTAGGCCTAGGGCACACTGGAGGCAGACGCGCCGCACCGCGTCGCGTCGTGCTGTCATTTTAAATAAAAACCATTATAGTTAATGAGAATGGGTACACGGGGAGCGCTGCGCCATGTCACTGAAGCACCGCACTGAGGTGCTGAATGTAGGCGCCAGTTCTATCTGTTTTCAACATTGTGGAGTACTTTAGAACAGACATTATGACGCGGAGTGGAGTTACGGCACAAACCCAGCTGCTGTTTTGATAACTTTAAAGCACTATTGATCTTAAAATATTCTAATAAATAGCATACTTACCCATTTTTAATGAATTTGAGTCTCACAAAACACAACGGCAGGTCTGATCACGTATAAACAATAGAGTTACTTCCCACCTCCTGTTCTCAAGTCCTGCGTGATGTTGTGACTATCGCACGACTTTCCAAGAAGTGCTAAGCGGTGCGTCCTGTGTGACCACTTGACTTCTCAAAATCACATGCAGGATGCTGTGCGATGCGTCTGCCTCCGGTGCGCCCCAGGCTTTACACTTCCACCTGATCAGATCCACACTTGCACTGGCTGATAACTGACAAAAACGAAAGTATTTTGGTGTTTAGTGTTCACACAGCTCTTGAATACATAAAAATGTTTAAAAACAGACTGTAGTGTTTGGTCCAATTCAAAATCAATAACTAATGGTGATCTGGTGTAAAGCCTGTTAAATAGCTGATCCTGACAGTAAAAATGAAGGGCATATGAAAGCAGAAGATGTGAGCAGTCTTTTTATTCCATTTATAGATGAAACATAAGAGAGAAATAGAAAGATAGTTATATCATGAGCAATCAGTTTTGTTTTCAGAACAAGTTCCTTTGCCTTGAAATCTGAGGAAACAGGCCAGTCTGGGACATCTGACATGCCCATATTCAGTCTCGGAGCATGTCGTCATGCATCTCTCTATCTGTGCCTGGTGAGGTCAGATGACTTTTTTAAAACCCCTAACTATCTCAGGAAATATCTGGATTCTCCCCAGAGACATGTTGTCAGAAAGCTGGGCTGTTTGGACAGAGAACCAAACGACAGAGTTAAACAGCAGCAATCCCTCATGAGAAACACTTCCTCTTCTAACACTCCCTCTTTGGCCCTATGTGTAATTTAATTATCTTCCTAAGGCTGTCAGGCCATCGCTGTGGGAATTTGTTTTTCCTTCAGAACTAAGACAACAACCATGACACCTCTCGGTAATGAAAAGTAATGAGCTGTTCTGAAGTGCATCATTAACTCCTTACTGAAGCTGATTAAACAAAATTAACTCCAAGTTTGACTGGAAAAGACTACAGATGAGACAAATGAGGCAGTTTTGCATAGAGCGTGAGTTCCCATGACAAATGAGCTTTCTTTTAATTTGTAACAGCCGTGTGAGATAAAACGACATGATGATATGTCACCAACTACTAGAGTTTTCAATTAGATGAAACCAATATAAAATGGTGTAATGACATAACAATTGGCACTGTCACTTTTAACCTTAAGTTAAGTTAAGGTGTGAAAAACCATTTTTTAAATTATTATTTCAGGTTATAATCAGTAACCCTGAGTTTTTCATGCAGGTTGAACATGAAAATAGTCTCCTACACCTATCTGCTGCATTAGCTTCTGATAGAAAATAGATGGTGAAACTCTAGGATTTAAAAATCCTGACAGATCCACATCACACTGTCACTGAACATTCATGGACTCACCCATCTTGACTCATAACAGGGAAGGCTGATGTTGGTTGCCTAGTTGTATGAATGTCTGCCCTGGGACTGGGAGTATAGGGTTCAAATCTGCAGTCGGGTCATACCTAAGATCTTAAAAATGTCACCAGTGTGTGATGATGACTTGACATCATGTTTGTGATGTGCTGTGGAGGCGTCTGGCCTCCGTTTGTTAGCCGTTTAGCTAACTGATCAAGGGGGAGGCACTTTGTTGCCTTCTCTCTGTCAAAAATTTCCCAGAAAACTGCGCGGTATTTTCAAAAGGATGGTGGATCAGGACCCAGCAGCTACTTTGGGGGCTAATTTCCAGTTTAAATGTAAGTCAACTAATTTTAGCTACTGGGCTGATATCTAAAATGATTTTTAGATCCAAAGCAGTTATCTATGGTTGGGTAGTTGCTTGGTAGTTGCAGCTTTGGTGGCTAGCAGGTAGTAACTCGCTTACATATTTAATTTAACCGATATATACACAATTAAAAAGTAAAAGGTCCGTTATACATATATATTGAAACTTATGTGTGCGAAATATAACTTTACCTCACGTGTCATGCGACATGATTGCCACGGGAGCTGCAATCACGTGAGGTAAGTCTTTTCCATTTAACTGTTTTCATTGGCCAAGGAGGGACAGTGTCCTCATAAGCAAGGCACCTGACTTGGCACCTTGACATTGAGAAGCTACCCATTAGCAGAGGTGTGACCAAGTCACTGCTTTGCAAGTCACAAGTAATCCACAAGTGTTTCCAGTCAAGTCTTCACTCAAGTCCAAGTCAAAGATGTCACGACGTGCTGCGGAGCGGAGCGGAGGAAAGGCGAGGATCCAGACCGGGGGAGACAAACAGGCAGGCAGGTAGGAAATCTTAACATGGGTTTATTAAGCACGCTGACGCTGGAACAATGACACCACAAGGAACACAGAACAGCAGGAGTTTAAATACATGAGGAACGGGAGCTATGGTGATTGGGAAACAAGAGGCAGGTGGGAGCAATTAACGGAGACAGACTACAACATAGGAGAAGACAGGACAGGGTGTGACAGTACCCCCCCCCCCCCTCAAAGGGCGGATCCCAGACGCCCACAGGAACCAGGAGCAAGGCGGGGGGAGGGGGACCCGGAGGGAGGGCCCAGAGGACGATGGAGAGGCGGCAGGGAACAGCAGAGTTCGAGGGCCGGCGCCTGCGGCAGATGAGGCGACGGGCCCGTGGAGGCCGGCATCTGCGGCAGAAGAGGAGGCGACGAGCCCGTGGAGGCCGGCGCCTGCGGCAGATGAGGAGGCGACGGGCCCTTGGAGGCCGGCGCCTGCGGCAGAAGAGGAGGCGACGGGCCCGTGGAGGCCGGTGCCTGCGGCAGATGAGGAGGCGACGGGCCCTTGGAGGCCGGCGCCTGCGGCAGAAGAGGAGGCGACGGGCCCTTGGAGGCCGGCGCCTGCGGCAGATGAGGAGGCGAGGTGCCTCTGGAGGCCGGTGCCTGCGGCAGAAGAGGAGGCGACGGGCCTCTGGAGGCCGGCGCCTGCGGCAGAGGAGGAGACGAGGACGGACTCTTGAGGACCTGCATCTATAATAGAGGAGCTCTGCAGGCTGGGCCGGAGCTGCCCTCAAAACCACCATCGGAACCGGAGACCGTGGAGACGCCGGGCTGGACGGAGCATCGACCTCTTGAGTGCAGAGAGCATCCCCAGACGAGGCGACGTCAGACGAGGCGACTTCAGAGGACGAGGCAGCGACGTCATCAGACGAGCCGACTTTGGAGGCGACGTCATCGGACGAGCCGACTACAGAGGTGGCGGCGACGTCATCAGACGAGCCGACTTCGGGGACGTCATCAGAGTTGGCGGCGACGTCATCAGATGAGCCGACTTCGGGGACGTCATCAGAGGTGGCGGCTTCGGGGACGTCATCAGAGGTGGCGGCTTCGGGGACGTCATCAGAGGAGACGGCTTCGGAGACGTCATCAGAGGAGACGACTTCGGGGACGTCATCAGAGGAGACGACTTCGGGGACGTCATCAGAGGAGACGACTTCGGGGACGTCATCAGAGGAGACGACTTTGGGGACGTCATCAGAGGAGACGACTTCGGGGACGTCATCAGAGGAGAAGACTTCGGGGACGTCATCAGAGGAGACGACTTCGGGGACGTCATCAGAGGAGACGACTTCAGAACTGGAACGGGCATCGACTTCAGAACAGGAACGGGCGTCGACTTCAGAACAGGAACGGGCGTCGACTTCAGAACAGGAACGGGCGTCGACTTCAGAACAGGAACGGGCGTCGACTTCAGAACAGGAATGGGCGTCGGCCACCATCGACTTCTGGTCCGGGGGCGTTGGCTTCGGATCCCGGGGCGTCAAC